TATGTTCTATGCATTTAAGGAATTTTCCATCTATGCCAAGGGTTGAGAGCTTATACAGAAGAGCTTCACGACTGATGGAGTCGAAAGCTTTGCGAAAGTCCACGAAACAAGCATAAAGTCTTTGTCCTTTGTTATTCACGTATTTGTCTACACAAGTGGAGAGGGTTAATTGGTTATCATTGTTTCGAAATTTAACCTATTAACGATTTCGTACAATTTTTTTCGTATAAAATCAACTGTATCGTCCTTATATAGAGTTTTCCCGCCTTTCAAACCAAAATCAGATATAAATGATTTCGGCAATTCACCGAAAATTTCAAATTCCATAATATCATGTGACAGAATTTACCTCATTTCCCAATAACCAAGTGCCTGTATTAGCTAACTTTTCAGAACAACATATTTTATGGCTATGATCGGTAGAAGAACCATAAAATAATGAGTTGAAAGGGTTTTGGGGACACCTCACAGTAAAAAAGAGGTACCATATTCTGAGTGTGACAAAATTGACGAAATACTGTCTTATAACCGCTTGATCCGTGCCCTTAAACCAATGTTGTATCATAATTGTTAGATCGACCTATAATAATCTACTATATATTAGACTAAGGAATGCTAATTGGGCAGCTATAATAGTTAACAAATGGTCAGAACTTCTGAACATGCTAGATTAAGGTGGCAGGGGGTACGGCAGGGGTGTAGGAAGCGGGGGGGGGGCAGGGGGGGGGCATCGCCCCCCATGAAATCTGGGCAAGGGGCCAAAAAGGGCCAACTTTTTAATTTAGGTTTCTAAAAATGTTTGGGGAAAAAAGTTTTCTTGGAAACTACTTTTGTTCATGTTTCATGTTACCCTGATCATTATGAGCCAAAAATATTTTTTTCGGTTTTCTAAGTTCGATATACGATTTTGGACTAGAGGGTTCCCCTTTGTAATGCGATCTCGGAAGGCAGGCCTCCCCTTCGCAATACGAGCTCGGAAGCGGGAGCTCTGCTTTCAGAGGTACGTATCGAGAATGACTCGGACCGAAATGACTCGGAGTCAAAAATTTTCAAAGTTTTCTTGGAAAGTACTTTTGTTCATATTTTAATTTCATGCTTATGCTACCCTGATCATTCTGAGCCGAAAATATATTTTTCGGTTTGTTGTTCGGAAGGTTGTGGATGTGATACTGATTGGTTTCATATACTAATTATAGAAAACGTGATATTTGGCCCACAGGTTTAAAGGAAAATACGCGAATTTGGTCCTCAGATTTAAAGGAAAATGCGCAATTTGACGCGGAGAACTGAAAAAATCGCGATTTGTCGTGAGGCCAGGATCTGAAAAATCGCGATTTGTCGCGAAAAACGTAATAAATCGCGATACCGCACATGCTGTAATTTCCTTTTGTCCTTACCCTCGAAATTCAGGCGAAGCGCCAGAAACTCGAGTCTAAAAATCTATCTTCTCCTACATTTTTTGAGCAATCACCTTGAAACTTTCAGGATATGTTCTAAGGACCATTTAGGAGATTCATTTTTTATCAGAATTTTAAGATAGTCCTTTTTTTTTCTTCGATTTTGAAAATTTCGGACCTCGTTCAGTGAAAAACATGGGCGTGGCATGTGATCGACTTTCCCGGTGGAGTTGGAACTTGAAAATGTTTGGTTGTTATTTAGCCTTATGAACGTCAGATAAGCTTTGTTCAAAAATTATTTGGATATGTTTTGGTTTTATAAACCTTCCTAATGGTTAATTGGTTATCATTGTTTCGAAATTTAACCTATTAACGATTTCGTATAATTTTTTTCGTATAAAATCAACTGTATCGTCCTTATATAGATTTGTCGCGAAAAACGTGATAAATCGCGATACCGCACATGCTGTAATTTCCTTTTGTCCTTACCCTCGAAATTCAGGCGAAGCGCCAGAAACTCAAGTCTAAAAATCTATCTTCTCCTACATTTTTTGAGCAATCACCTTGAAACTTTCAGGATATGTTCTAAGGACCATTTAGGAGATTCATTTTTTATCAGAATTTTAAGATAGTCCTTTTTTTTTCTTCGATTTTGAAAATTTCGGACCTCGTTTTTTGACGATTTTTCCAGTTTAAGTTGATTTTGTGGCGTCAGTAAAATGGCAACAGATGCACCTATATAATTATAATAAATCGTTTCGCTTTATAAATTCTCTTTATTAATTTGAATTTCATGATAACAACTGAAAACTTAAACACTATAATAACTGCTTGTAACACTTATAATTGTTTTGTGAACACAATGTATAAATAAAATTTAAATTTATAATACATTCACCGATTATGGAGAAATACTGAAGTGAATTACAAAAATGTTTTTAAGATATAGTGCTGATGCCAAATCTCTTCAGATATGACGAAGGAAACAGAGGAGGGTTAGAGAGGAGCTTGTACCTGACCTCTGACAGAAAGAAGAGGGAGATATCAAAGAGGAGAAAGAAAACTGCTGAACATGAGTGTAATGATACATGCCGTACTGGGTCACATGACGAACTGTAGAGGTCAAGTAATGAACTCTAAAGGTCACATGATGAACTATATAGGTCACACGGACAACTCTATAGGTCACATGAAGAACTCTAGAGGTCACATGGACAACTCTAGAGGTCACATGATGAACTATATAGGTCACACGGACAACTTTAGAGGTCACGTGATGAACTATATAGGTCATATGATGAACTATATAGGTCACATGATGAACTATATAGGTCACATGATAAACTATATAGGTCACGTGATGAACTATATAGGTCATATGATGAGCTATATAGGTCACGTGATGAACTATATAGGTCACATAATGAACTATATAGGTCACATAATGAACTATATAGGTCACATGATAAACTATATAGGTCACATAATGAACTATATAGGTCATATGATGAGCTATATAGGTCACGTGATGAACTATATAGGTCATATGATGAACTATATAGGTCACATAATGAACTATATAGGTCACATAATGAACTATATAGGTCACATGATGAGCTATATAGGTCACATGATGAGCTATATAGTACAACGGATTCTTATATTTGAGTATTTGTGCTTTGTCGTATTTTAAACGTGTATGGCCCACGTAATTGAGAAGTTATCGGGTTGCTCGGATCAAATGATAATAATGCACTGTGAGGTTCAAATTGAGAATTTTATGTCATGTTTATCATTTGATTCCTGAAACCAAAATGATGTGCGATATATAGTAAAGTGAGGTGGCGAATCACGTAACTATACAACTCGAGAGTTAAGTACGAATCACGTACAACTCGAGAGTTATAGTTGAGTACGAATTCAGTGCAACCGTCAAGAATAATAGGAATTGTGAACTACTTATGTAAATAATTGTTCTTCAATTCGCTTGATGTACATAAGGTGCGAACTATAAGTAATAGTACGTATTATAACTTTAGATAAGTACTATAAGTATCAGTACATATGAAACTTACCTATTATCTCTGGTACTTATCGTAATCAGTAGCTCATGACCAACTTAGTAGTATTTGAACTGTGGTCATTAGAATTTAGCGATCATTACAACTTCAGTAAATTTGCATGGCATGTTCGGAGCGGCAAAGTGAATTATTAAGTAAAATATAAATTAATTTAGCGACAAGTTGCTTTCTGTTGCAATAAGTTTTATATTAAGTTATGACATTTCGTTTAGGCAGTATCCGATAGCAATTTTTTCACTTGGTGAATTAGAATCGTTTTTAGTTTTGAAGTTATAGTTTAACTCCAAGCTTATAATTTTAAATCAATTATGTGACTGATGTGTTGTTTTGATTCCCATTTGATTAAATTACATTTATATTTTTAATTTTCATTCATTTGTTTTGATAGCTTGTTAGTGTTCGAAATATCAGATTTTGATTCAATTTTCTAACTAGCGTGTTTTACTTTTATCAAAGAATTTAAAATACAAAAAAATATATTTTAAAAAACAAAAATCAATATTGATAATCTTATCCAAAAGCGAGTGAGAAAGTAATCCAAATTTGCAGCTCAATTACACTTTTTTCAAACCGCTCCAGAATTCCTCCTATGTTCAAAGGCTAAGTTGTATACCAGAGTGGCGATGATTTATATTCCTCATCAGCTTTCAAGACCACTCGGATTAGCGAAACTTGGTCAGTGATTATATTTCAGATTTCTGAGTCTTCACGACTGATCTACTTCAGGGGGAATGTCTATAGTGTTATTACGAGTATTTGTCGCATATTTTGTGGTTTGGTAATTGCTGAACTTGAGTAATTTATAGAGTAGGAATTGGAATCTAGCATTAGAATCTAGCACAGGTATGAACCCTAGCACAGGTATGAACATCTTGTTTGTACTTCACTTGTTACACTGTTTGTTGAGACCGTTTGGATGGTGTGACTATCATTTCCTCCTTTCCATATTCTACTTTAGTTTTCTTGTTCACTCTTATGACCTCAGCATCATCCGTTTGTGTTTTTGTCTCTGCACATTTGTGCTCTAAACAACATTTAACACTAAGCACGAACAAAATCGCTAAATTATATAGAGAAACCTAAAAAACTGACCTCTAATCAATTTCAAGAGTTTCAATGGAATTTCATATTAATTTCGAGCTTACAGCAGCCGTGTTATGTAATTTTCATCAATTTTTGGCTTAAGCTTAATCAAACCAAATTTCGATAACGTAGTTAAAATTTTTAACCGGGTAAATTCAGTTTGAACATCTCAGGAATACTTTCAATTCATTCTACGGTCAAAAATACGCCAAGTGAAGTGAGTATGGCCGGTCCTTGACTCCCTTGCGTAGCAGAAAATACGTAACAGAAAATACCCGTAAGGCCCATGCTTTTATAGTTTAAGGTGATACAAACTAGTTTGTCGAACTTGATCCGAAAATTTGGGATCTTAAAAACTTTGCCAACAAAACACATTTTTTCCGTTGAGCTTTTATTTAACGTTAACGTGAATTGTAAAATGGAACAGAAATAAAACAAGTTCGAAATTATGATATTAATAGTAATAAAAATACACAAAACTAAAATATATGTTGTAAATTTTTTCAATGCATTGTATATATTTGGGTACTATTAATGGGATGACATCCATGTTTTCTGACAGATGACAGCGAATAACTACAAATAAGCTTCTAGTATAATTGAATAATGAAACCCAGAATAGCACTGTCATATATCAAACAAATATGGTTGACCTCTCTACAAATATCCAAATATTATTGCTTTCTCGACGAGAAATTGTCCAAATCATGCTTCAAATTCGTTTACACCCATCTGCTGTTTTTCTGGACGACGATATGTTCTCAAATTCTATTCTGAGGTGAGGGGATGTTAATAAAGTAATAAAGCAATAATAAAAATAATTGTTAAATTCATTTGTTCTTGTAATGGGAGCAAAAATCGATGTGTAGTGTTGCGATCATAATTGAGCGGATTTTTATAAACGGACCAGGAAGTCACTTTTTAAAAGGTAACAATCAAATTTATAGCTAATTAGCGTACATGTGTCTTCGCATCGGTTGATTGAAAAGTTGGTTGAAAAGTGTCGGTCTTCTACTAAAAATACTCAACCAACCATACAATCGACCAAGAAATAGTTTCTGCCTTTCATGATAAGACTTACTTCGGCCGTAGTTGACGCAGGTAGGACAAGAACAATTTTTCTTTTGTTTTGAGCACCGTCCCCACTTAGAACAGCAAACAGCACCTTTTCGGTCGTCAGGGTTACACTGACTGAGAGAGCCATCGGCGAGGGGGAACTTTGGACCACATCGATTGTCGTCTCTATAAACTACAGGAACTTCTTCAGGAACTTCGGGAACTTCAGGAACTTCTGAAACTATTTTAAAAAATTAAGTGGCCACAAAAGTCGTAAGGTTCATTGATTCTATTGCCCATATTATCAGAGCGTCAATCTCAATACATCAGTTTATAAACTTTTCTTTTTACACAAAAAGTTTTTTTCGTAAGGCGCTGCTCTTATTTCCTTACTAATTATCACTAACCTTGACACCCTACCCCCTCAACTAACAGTTCTCCCGCGTCACATGCCTGGCATTTGTACCATACTACCAGTTGCTTCCACTGACCCCAGCATGGTTCAACATAGAATCTATCCGGGGACGTGTCTAGCTCACATGATCCCTGTGAGAGCAGCAGGTCGTGAGGATGACGAAACGATTTACCGTTTTGGGAGTTAGAAGTTTAGAAGTTGATTCGTGAAGAATTTAAAATCAATACTTTTCACGTCCAGTCCTAAAATTGTCTATAAGTTTCAATGATTTATGTCTCATTAAAAATTTTCTTCAATGTCTCCAAACCTTAAAACGGCAGTGATCCCTAGTTTTAGGAAAAGCATTTTCAAGTGGAGTACATAACGAAAAATAAGGTGCCCAGTATTTTGCGTTCTCTATTTCTAGGTATTCTCCAGCATCACACGACAGGTTTAGAATTTTGTTTTCCCCTATCTCTTCCCCTGGTGTGGAACAATTTTATAATAGTTGTTTTGTATAACAGACTACAGTAAATGTATTGTAAAACTTCTGACAGACCTGATGATTTGAATAAAAAACAGTGTCCCAAATTAATCGCGGTTTGAAGTCATTAAATCGATATTGTTCAAACAGGATGTAAAAGTCTGTCAAATTCCCGATTCCGTTTAAAAATTACTTAAAAATAATGTCTTTATCATTATTACATCATCAAATTTGTTTACTTCATATATTGAATTGATATAGCTGGAATGTTGATACATAAAGTGTATGAAATAATCAGACTTACTCAAAGAACAGTCACTTTCTGAAGTACCAATATAACCCATTGCCACTTCTTTCCCAGAAGGACAGTTAGAACACGATGAAGCACTTCCTCCAGGGCTGTATGTTCCTTCTTCACATGGTGTACATCCGTTCTCTTGGTCAATGTAATTGCCACCTTCACAGGGATCTGAGGTTGAAAAAATAATGGTCTTATAACTCTTCTATAACAGCACAGTCAGCAAAAGTGGCCACAAAAGTCGTAAGGTTCACTGATTCTATTGCCCATATTATAAGAACGTCAATCTGAATATAAATATCTGTTTATAAACTTGTCTTTTTACACAAAAATTGTATTTCGTATACGAAATACAATTTTTGTGTAAAAAGACATAACCCTGTTTTAACCCTGCCATAGTCAGTTGAAAGTCTGATAGCATATGTTCCGTTTGATTTGACCAAACTAATGCCTTTCATTGCTTTATAATATATAAGGCGCTGCTCTTATTTCCTTACTAATTATCACTAACCTATACACCCTGGCCCCTTAACTAACAGTTTTCCCTCGTCACATGTCTGGCACGTGTACGATACTGCCAGTTTCTTCCACGCACCAAAGCATGGATCACCATATAAACTATTCGGGCTCGTGTTTATCGAACATGATTCCTGTGAGAGCAGCAGGTCGTGAGGATGACGAAACGGTTTACCGTTTTGGGAGTTAGAAGTTAAGAAGAATGTTGATTCGTGAAGAATTTAAAATCAAAACTTTTCACACGTCCAGTCCTAATTAAATTGTCTATGATCTCATTAGTTTCAATGTTTTATGTCTGCTCATTACACATTTTCTTCAATGTCTCCAAACCTGATGATTGCAGTAATCGCTAGTTACACTAAAAGCATTATGTTGATCACTACAGAACCATGAATGAGGTGCCCAGTATTTTGCCTTCACTATCTTTAGGTGTTCTCCATCATCACACGACAGGGTTAGAATTAAGTTTTCCCCTATCTCTTCCGCTGGCGAGGAACAATATTATAATAGTTGTTTTGTAAAGACTACAGTAAATGTATTGTAAAACTTCTGACAGACCTGATGATTTGAAAAAAAAACAGTTTCCTAGATTAATCGCGGTTTAAAGTCGTTTAATCGATATTGTTCAAACAGAATGTAAAAGTCCGTCAAATTCCCGATTCCTTTTTAAAAAATAATTTCTTTATCATTATTACGTCATCATTAAATTACACGGATACGGAAGCACTATAAATTCTTCATACGAATTTCAAAAGCGAACAAAATAAATGTACTTATAAAATACATCAAAGAAACGTCTTTCAATAAATTATATAGTATGAACTTTAACTTACAGAAGATCTCTGCGTCAGCCAAAGCAATGCCAGCTAACATTGTCAGGGCCATCATCATCGTCATCTGCATCTTGACTAACATAACTTCCTTATTTTGTTAAAATTATAGTGACTAAATTACCACATTATACTATTAGTACAGTATTAATTTAAATGCGGGGAAAAGATATTATATTATTAGATAATTATCCGATAATTATCAGATGATTATCAGATAATTATTAGATAATTAGGCATTATCAGAGATTCGTCAGTTTATGGTCGGTCATAGGCTTTTAATAATCGGCAACAAATATTTTATCCACATAAACAGATACATTTTTTAAACGAATCTTTGAATTAAACTAACAATCTATCGAAAACTGGACCAAGTTGAGTCAACTGGTTAAGAATTACTACAGCAAGAATTACTACAGCATTCAAAGAGATCCTTTCTGCCATGTCTTCTTATCACGTTACTGTTATACTTATATTCGCCGTACTTGGATCTACCCATTTGCATTGGTTAATCGTATGCTTTGACACTAACTGATTGATGTCAGTTTGGATACAAATTTGCCGTTTACGCTATAACAAGGATATATCTTGTGTTCTTGGCTAGTATATATGAAACATTTGACACGGAGTTGTGGGGTGAGCTATGTGCCTCGCCGGGCTAAAGTAGTGAATGTCCTTGCTGTACGGCAAGTTAAACAAGGAACTGAAACTACTAGGTTCCGTACAGGCTCAACTCTACACCCATGTCATATGTTCATATGTAAGCCTCTTGATTATATAATAGTCTATGCGTTGTTTACTAAAGCATTAAGCATAATTCATATGTGTCACTTCATTCCAAACGTGTAATTAGCATTTTTCCAAATTAGAATTTCCCGATTACTTTGAAAGTCGGCATGTAACGTGTTTTTGTTTGGTTGCCTAGCAAAGTGCATCCAGTGCCGAGTAAGATAAGAAGGATAAGTATGCAAATTCCAAAACTATATAAACAAACTTTCTGCTGATGATATAAAGGGTATACACTATAAAGTTGCTTGGCTAAAGCCAACGTCCTAAGTCCTTGTGGCACTTCACTGTGATAAAACAATACAAATCTGCCGGTTTTGGATGACAGTGGTTTAATTCTCCGTGGCAGCTTCAGGAGAAAGATCCGAAAAAAGTGATGTCAAGTCCATTTTACAACTCAATTGTAGACGCCAAAATGAATCAAAGCAGAGCGCAAAATAATTGCATAATTCCATGAAGAATGCGGAGAAAAGATGAGAAGATTACTAAAACACCTGCGCTTAAGTTTGGTTGTCCACATGAGCAATCAGCTTCTTTATTATCCGTAATAAATTACTAGCGGTTATAATAGATCACACGTTTACTAAGTTGGCTCAAGAATCATCAGATTTTGAGACAATTTACTGTTGAACTTATGTTTTAATTTATTAAAGCGAGCTTCTAGTTTCGGGATAGCCTATTATAGCAGGCAACGCCCGATACTAATGCTTCTATAGACCTAGACAAGTACAAGTAAGTAAATATTTCATGCTAGGCATGTGGCACCCATTACAGTACCTAACCATCCATTGAAGGTTTTTGCTTTTCGCTGTACTACATTGCACAGCTCCCCATTTAACCGTCACACACAATTTCTCAAGCATTTGGCTGGGTGGACCGGGAGGCTGCATAGATTCTATTGAATCCTTAGCAGAACGTCGACGGCGCTCAGGCTCACCCCACGATCAGGCAGACAGCGGGATTCGAACTCGCAACCTCACGATTGCAAAGCTGGTGCTCTAACCGACTGCTCTACCTGGCCGTTAAGTTTTAATTTATTCAAGCTATATTTTTGCGTTCGATCTGGCTCTACAATTACGGGCGTATGACACAGTAGCGGTGCTTTACTTCTTTACTTATACTTTTATAGTAATAACTGTATCTTAACTTAAAACCATAAAACTTTACAATAGTATTGTCGGTTGTAGTAGACGTTGGGGAAAGACACAGGACGAACAGAAAGAATTTAAAGCATTACTTGAAACATGCAATATGGCCCGCAAGACAGGAGCCATACTAAATTACTCTCAATCTATCGACATCGTACCCTGCAACGTAGCCAGTTTTATAGATGGCTACGTTCCTTGCAACGCGTGATACTTTAATTGAAAAACATGATTTTATTTCTGGTGGTAATTGACTTAAGACTGGAACCGCGCTGCAATTAGATGGTACGATTTTCCAACGTACAGAAGGGTCTGATAATAGCGTACCGGCTAATCCCGGTCAAAGTAAAATAATATGAAGAAGCTGTTGATAAAAACTGTTTTACATAAACCCTTACCCCAATCCAAACCATAACCAGAAACCCGACGAATCGGAGATAACCGAAGAGGTCACGTCAGGATGCCTCAGGAGGTAACTATGAGTTCAAGGAGGAAAGTAACAGTTCCTGCTTGAACTTAGCAGGACCGGTGCACTAATCAGTAATCAGCACTATCAGTTAGACTTTTCGTTCCACTAATTTTTCCGGGGAAGGAGTATTGAGAAGCCAGGAGTGTTCCGCAGAAGCAATATTACGAGGCAATTAGATCTCATCCGACCTTTTGATTGTGGAATTCAATTATAAGCCACCAGTCTGCAGGAGTGCAGGAGTAGGAATATATCAGTATATCTGTATTCTGTATATAACATTAAGGTGTATAAGTATTAAGGTATTACCAGTCCTAAAGACTGGTAATCTAATTGTCCAGGTAACACAAATTCCAACTGCTCTCTCCTTTTATAAAAAAACACGTACTACAATTTCAACTGCTGATGATTCTTTCAAAGAAATTTCTAATAAAACAGTAAACTCAGTGCCATGCCAACAATTTAAAATGAAATCAAATAAATCGCGTTACGACATTTGATTTTAATTGTTTGGCCTTAGAAATCGTCAGTGTCTCTCTTTCCCAAACAAAAGGAAATGATATTAATTTGATTGACCGTCTGCAAATGCAAAATGATACCGAGAATGAAATCGGTCGCTCACTTTTCCCATTCATTCACGGCTTACGAATTGTAAAAAAAGTTTTGATTAATTACATCAATCACATGCTGTAAAAATCTCTTTGGGTTGCGTTCGGGTCAATACCTAGTATTTCGGGATAAGGGTGGTAGTTAGTGAATTAGCTGAAGTTTATTGAATCTTTATTACCGAGTACAACTGCCTTCGGGTAGTTCTTCTTAATCTATTACTATTATTACAATTATTATTTCATTGTAAATGAATGGGAAAAGCGAGCGACCGATTTCATTATCGGTATCATTTTGCATTAATTGCAGACGGTCAATCAAATAAATATCATTTCCTTTTGTTTGAGAAAGAGAGACACTGGCAGCGGTCCACTCTACCCATGATTATGGGTTTTGGTCTATAATATTCTCTGATAGTCAGTTTTTATCGCATCATCAAATATCCGTCACAACAATTTTTCCGGGGAAGGAGTATTGAGAAGCCAGGAGTGTTCCGCAGAAGCAATTTTACGAGGCAATTGGATCTCATCCGAACTTTTGATTGTATAATTCAATTAAAAGTCCCTACAAGTCTGCAGGAGTGCAAGCTAGTAGGACTTTATCAGTATATCTGTATATTAATATAAGTATTACCAGTCCTACAGACTGGTAATCTAATTGTCCAGGTAACACAAATTCCAATTGCTCTCTACTTTATGAAAAACAACGTACTACAATTTCAACTGCAGATGATTCTTTCAAAGTTTCAAAGAAATTTCTAATAAAACAGTAAACCCAGTGCCAGCAATTTAAAATGAAATGAAATAAATAGCCTACGACATTTGATTTTAATTGTTTGTCCTTATAAATCGTCAGTGTCTCTTTTTCCCAAACAAAAGGAAATGATATTAATTTGATTGACCGTCTGCAAATGCAAAATGATACCGAAAATGAAATCGGTCGCTCGCTTTTCCCATTCATTCACGGCTTACGAATTGTAAAAAAAGGGTCGATTAATTTTTTTTGTTAGTAAGTTCAAAAAACATCCGTCACAACCGAAGATACAGCCGATTAAAATGTAGCTGATCACACTGAACACAACGTAATTACCACAAAACCGATCAAAATGTCGCTCGCAAATCTTTGCACGTGCACGTGCGCTTTTGAACACCGTTACCATGGTTACTTTGCAACCTTTTGCTTTTTATCTAATTTGCACGTGGGCGGTCGTACATTCTACATTATACAGAAATAATTTTTTGAATTATAAGAAAGAGTAAGAAGACTAGAAAACCCGTGGTCACAGGGAGGAATATATATCTAGAAACACACTTTTTTAGAGATTTTATCGGCGTATCCTCTAAGTACGTATAAAATCACCTAATTTGTTCAATTTTCGGTGCCAAAAGGGGAAGGGGGGGGGGGCGCCAACAGGGGGGCGCTTTTTCAGCAGGGGGGGGGGGTGGCGCCAACAGGCAACGTTACGCCACTGCTGCGTGTTTATTATTATTACACGTCCTGACGTCCGTACGCTAATGAAGTGAGATGTTAATCTCTCTGGGACTGGGCCTTTATACTTACAAGATAAGATTATTGTTTATAAACTATAAATAATTTCATAATTAGTCTGTATTGATTGATTATGTGAAGCAAAATTATAGCACTCCAAAAATCAGATGATGCCCAAATAAGGTAATAACTGAAACACACGTGATGCCCAAATAAGGTAATAACTGTAACACACGTGATGCCCAAATAAGGTATTATCTGTAACACACGTGATGTAGTCTTTTCCGTAGTAGGAACTATGGCTATCATCCTGCCTGTTGTTGCACTGTCTGTTATAGTCTTTATTCTGGAACTATTGAAGGGGAAGAGGAGCCCGAATAGGAACCCGGAACTTAAGGTAACATTTAGGTAACATTTAGGTAACATTTAGGTAACATTTAGGTAACATTTAGGTAACATTTAGGTAACATTTAGGTAACATTTAGGTAACATTTAGTTTTTATATCACTGTGACAGGTCGATTTCATTCCGTTATACCTGCTTTGTTTACCAGAAACCTACCTTTCCCATATTTTTTATGATATCTTATAAATTACTATCAGTTTTGTGGTGTTACCATTGTGCAATAAGTCAGATTATGGTATATATTTTCAAAGACTAATCTTATCTTTCCCTCGACAGAAGTTGCCACAAATTCTTTGTCATCTGAATCGGCCGCCTGTTTGTTGAGTTGCAATAAGATGACCCCGCCTAACCTCCTATAGTTTTTAACGACAGTTACAAGTTTTTTAAGTGCGATTTTTAGGATGACTTAGGCGCCTGGAAAAAATTTGCTCTAACTTTTTTCCCCATCAGATCCAGATTGAATATTTTTTGTGGTTCCACTATGGACAACACATTCCTGCAGAAAACTGCTTGTCGCAAATTTGTTCGCAGACATTTTGCATAAATCCCTAACTAATAGTTGATAGGACTCTGCATGACAACCTTATATTTGGAACAAATATTTAACGAGTATCACCCGTTAATAGTTGAGTTGTTAACTGCGTTATTTTAGAAAGTTCTAAACGATCTGATAGCAGTTAATGACGAAAAGAAAGCACAGAATTACACTGTCAGTGTCAGCACTCGTTTTGTAAAGGTACTCCCACCCTGCATGGCAAATATACCTTTACTTTAGGTTAAACACAAGGATATATTTCACACCACCCTGCATGGCAAATATACCTTTACTTTAGGTTAATCACCATGACGTCACTATGACGTCATAGAACCGTGTGGTGACGTTATAACATGACGTCACAACTAGACTTTTCAGTTGGTAACCGAGAAATCTGCTCACGAGATTAAGAAGTTGCTTGCCGAGGCTTGACATACGTTGGTCGTTGCATGCCACTTTTCGCGCGCGAAGGCGATATTTGAATACGAAACATGTATCAAGCCGAGGCTTGAGTTCGATTTTCCTGAAAATCAGGTAATTTGCGTAACTTAAAATAGCCAAATAACAAAGCTGTGTCGATGTACTCGATTTTGGTTTTATCTGAACCCTGATTGCAATTATTGAATGGGAAGTTTTATATTACTGATCTGTCTCTATTTTTATATTCTAATCTCTACAGGAAACAAAACAAGCGCATCCGCTTAAGAAAGCATCTTAGAGACAGCAACAATGCTGTTGCTATGGTTACGTAACTGTTGCTATGGTTACGTAACTGTTGATATGGTTACTATTCCACTCAAAAGGGGGTGATGGCCTGATTCCAGTGGATGATGATCAACCAAAACCTTCAAGTTCAACTGATTTACTATCAACCGATTTACTTTGACCACTACCAATTCAAATCAACTACTACTACTACTACTATGTCGGAGCTAAGTCCGATCTACGCCAGAAAACCCCCTCCATATATCCCTGTCCCGCATCAGGGTTCGCAGTTCCTCTTTAGAGTTTGTCCCAACTTCCTTCAGTAACAAAGACAAGTAGCTTTGTCTTGGTCGGCCTTGCTGTACTTTGAATAACTTGACTCGTCAAAAACAGGTGTAACGAAATAATATGAAACCGCTTGTTTACAGTTATACCACTTTCGTTGTATTCAACTTCTTTACTTATAATTATTACCTTAAAGATGGATATGTGCTCACAAATGTTTTAGATTTTATCAATTGCAGAAATTTAGGCGAATAAAAACACGATTTCAGTTTGAATTTTGTGTTAATGATATTTTTCATTTTTAACATTGCATTGAACAAAGCATGTAATATTAACTCTACCCATGTATAATGAATAAACCTTTTACTTTTTGTGATCAAGAATTATAAAACTAGTCAACATATTATCCAGAAAAGTCAGACACACCGATTAAAATCATAATTTAGGAGCTAAAGGTACGATATGATAATAAGTCCAAAGCTTCAAAAAGTCATTTCTATTTTTCTTTCTATTCCCTCTACCCTCCGCAGGTAAATATCGGATAGCACCATCTTTTTTTGATAGCTTCGACTTCAGCCTCTTTAACTTGTTCACTCTTCTCAATATCTCTTTTCAAGGCTGCAATTTCTTCTGTATACCTGTATTGAGATTACAGGTTTCAGGTTCTTTAGCACAGATTCATCAGTTATAGTCCTATTTAGTATTTGATAAATTGTATGTTCATATTTGCTCCGATTTCGTTAAAAACTATTTTACAGTGGATAACTATTTTACAATTAAAGTTAAATGTTTTTACAGGCTCTAAGCGATGTAGTTGTACGAAGATTTCAAGCCTTACGTGTGTGTGTTTCCCTTCGTGTCCAAAAGCATTATATTTTACAATTATATATTTTGTTTGAAATAAATTTCGTCGTCAAATTTTTAATGTAAATATTGATCGTTATAATTGAATTAATACTATTTCATTTATTGTGTAAAGTAAACTGTAGCGAGATTACTAAAGCTGACAATTACTTTACACAATAACCTGTAATATATTTTAAACTAATTACAACACTACGAATCTATTACATTTATTTAGTATTATGTAACGCGATGGAAATATTTAAGCGGGTAATATCCTGTCCAAACCCAGGATACATAACATGAAGACTTTGTTGTAACTTTGTATGAAAAGCATTAATATACTGGTAATAGTATAAAAGTTTACAAAACAATTCCTACCCTCTCTCGGCCATAGCGATCTCCTCGTCGGCCCTTTTAACGGATTGGAGATAATAATCGTCGGCGTATTCGGGTATGTTCTTAGATTCAGCAACCATTACCAGCCTGTAAGAAATGTGCTTTTGAGAAATGTACTTTCGAGAAATGTACTTTTGAGAAATGTACTTTGAGAAATGTACTTGAGAAATGTATTTGATTTTAATCTATCTATTTGATGGTAAATCAAACTAACAAACGAGTGTCTGTTTTGAACATTTCTTCGTAATATTTTTATAAACGTGTAGTTTGTATAGTTGTATGATCATATTGAAGATGATTTTCATCAATTAAATTAAAAGTGCTGTTACCCAATAAACGCAAGAACGAGCACTATAGTAATCTTCATTGTTATCTTCAGTAGTATCCTAAACCTATAATATGGTGTTAAAAATTAAATTTAGAATTAAAAGGAGCAAATGAGAAAACAATACATTTCTTGAATATTACGTTAATAAAAGTGGTGACACAAGTTACATGTTAATTTTTATCAATATAATATGTGAACTGTAAAACCATTTAATATTCATTTTTCACGTGAACTGTAATTATGGAAAGAGATTGATCAAAATAAATCTTATTTTTTGTCAAATTTCCTTAATTTTGTTCACTAATGCTCTTTTAACTTAAGTAACGATAATCAAAACGCTGACATGGGACATGGGTGTCCAAATAAAATAAAGGTTCCACTAAATAATGAAACCACGGTGTGACTTCAATAAACTGATAGTCAATATTTCAAGCGCAATTAAACTTAAATAAACTAAGTAAACCACTTAATTTACAATGATAAGCCAATGAACTCGACCCTGCTGACTCTGCTTATATACATGGTAATCCCGCTGGGTGTGGCGCTTCTTTTCATTAAACTAGACAGTAATTACCCTATTATCTAGTAATTATCCTATTATCTAGTAATTATCCTATTATCAGGTGGCGGAATGGATCAAGCAAATTCCTCGCTCACTGTCTCGTGTCAAAACAAAGTAACGAAACCCTTCATTGAACGTTATATAGCTGATTGACAGGGTACACTGATACAATATGATAGGTAACAATACGATATAGATAACAAGTAACAATACGTCTTGATAGATTACGAAATGTTACGAGCAAATTATTCTTTGTTCATTGTAGCAAGCCATTAAATCATTAAATTACCATTAGTTGAAATTCTTGATGAGCCGACATATTTGTTAAATAAAGGAATCTTGATGATTTAGGGCGATTACATCATTTATTTTTACAATGATGATTACTTAACACATAACAATTAACAAGTTGTACAGACTGATTCTGCAATAAGCGAGGGAGGGGGAGGGATATCCGCAATAAGCGGTAATAAATAGATAAATCATCTTGGTTGATTAATAAATGACAATAGATATAAATAAAGTCAATAATTATATTTGCTTCTGTCTATAAATTGACTCTGATGGGATCCTAGTGTATTGTTATACTGTCTTCAGAGAGGGCCTAATTTCCAACAAATAGTACGGTGTATGTTAATAAGGGGGCTGTCTACTCACTCTAAGGGTTTAAAATACCTAATAATAATTGGATAAAATGCTGTGGGCTATAATAGCACATATAGGCAGTTTGTGTATTTTGTAAGAATAGCTTGATTTGCTGACGGAATACGGATAATAAGATATGTGTGCTATTTCAGCAGAGAACCAGCGGAAAGTAGACAGTTAGCTAACCACGGTTTGTTCTTGTTGATGTGTAGATAAATTATATATATTATATATAGTAGTTATATTATATATAGTAGTTATATCATATATAGTAGTTATATAATATATAGTAGTTATATTATATATAGTAGTTATATAATATATAGTAGTTATATATTATATAGTAGTTATATTATATAGTAGTTATATTATATATAGTAGTTATATTATATATAAATTATATATATTATATATAGTAGTTATATAATGGCTAAGATACAATATATTAGGTTTTAAGCCGAACTTTATTCCCTAAGCTCATTAAGTTTAGCTGCTTCACGTTTTGTAAAGTTTCAATTCGAAATCTGTATCTGAAATTTATTTCTGAATTTGAACTTCCATGCTAATATAAACATATTTAAGGCTATTATTTTCTCGCATCTCTTTCAGTATAAAGTCATGGAGAGTGACGAACAGATTGAAAGTAAACCGAATAAAACAGAAAAGTCGTCAGAAAAATCAGGCCGGTCAAGAAGAAAAAGTAAAGATGGCAGGTCTAGAACAAGAAGTGAACATTCTAGAAGAACAAGAAAGTCTGCGGAGGATTACACCAATCAAGGAACCAGATCAAGACATGAATCTGAACCTGATAAAAGTTCTCGCAGATCCAAATCTAAGAGATCTCGCAGGTCAGACTCTAAAAATGAACGGAAAATGATTGTGCCAGAAGAAGAAGCTGATAGATCCCACAAAAGTCGTGAAAACTTAACCAAGTCTCATAGGTCAGAGCACTATGTCCGTAACTCTGACAGATTACACGAATCAGAACGATCAAAATCAAGAAAAAGGTCAGAAAGATCGCACAGACCAAAATCAAAGGACGAGTCCGGAGGGGTTGAAAATTCAGAGCGGTCAAAAAAGTCGAAAGAAAGAAGAGAACAGTCAGGAACTTCAAAATCAAAGGAGAGGTCAGAGGGACCACATAAATCAAGATCAAAAATGGAATCATCAGACAAGAGCCGATCAAAAAGACATTCAGATAAAGAGAGGGAAAGTAAAAATAATACTGAGAAGAGATCTAGAAGATCCTCTAAATCTAAAGAAGCATCTTCAAAAGAAAACAAGTCAGCAGCAGTAAAACATAGATCGGTGAAACAATCAAGTGACCACTTCAGTAAAGATGACGGGGGAAAGATATCAGAAAGAGATCGAGATTCAAAGCGTAAAGTGAGACATTCGAGATCATTAAGCAAAGAAAGGACAAAGAAACACACTTCAGAAGTTGACGATAAAAAGGATGATCACTCCAAAATGAGTGGGAGATCAAGGAAAACTTCTGGAAAGAGAAAGAAAAGGTCAAGGAATAGTGTGAGGATTAAAGACATGATGGGATCAGGGAAAACAAACGTGTTTGGTGATGACGGGTTGGAAGATGAGCTGAGAGACTGGCTCAAGTCACCTGATCCATGTGAAGTAACGCAAGTTGTAACGCACGAAGATTCTGTGATTAAACAAGAAAACAACAATTTGAAACATCTTCCAGCACGGAGTTCCCAGAGGAGGAAAGCAGAGGAAAATTAATCCTGAAGATGCTACGGAAGCAGAGAGAAGAGAAAATATTTATGACGAAGAGGAGAAAACGGCAAGTGAGGATGAACTCACAAAAACACCATCACTCAAGGTTCTAAACACAAAGGGTCTAAAACCAACCAAACAGGCAGAAGTAATACCTCTAAAAATGGAAATAGATCTAAATACAATTAATTTACTAAAGAGAGAAGAAGAAACACGGTCACCTGATACACAGTACGCTCTACAGAGGAGGAAACTTCTACAGGACAAACATTTGGTACTTCCTGAGTCAACTGAAAATACTATTTTCAAAAGGTTCGAAGCAGCATTGCATCAAGATGACATACCCACTTACAAGGTCACGAAGATAGAAACGAAGCCTGGTGATCCAAATCTGTCCAACACTATGAACAGGGTAAAAGTGAGATACCATAACATGCTGACACCCCCTAAAAGAGAAAGAGAAAGAGAAAGAGATATAACCCAACCTACAGTTGAGCAGATTACAGGGCTGATCCCGGTCAGAGAAGAACCAGAACCACGTGATTTATCAGACAGGAGCTATGAATTTCAGTATGTTAAACCAGATTTAATAACACCCGAGTTGAAGTCTCAAAATACTAGTGACCTTACAAAGAAAAAGAAGTTTAAGAAGTCGACAGACGATTTCGACAAAAAATTGAAAGAACTGCAAGAGTCAGACGCAAAGAAAATAGAGCCGTTGGATAGCCCAAAACCGACTCCAGATGCTCCAACTCCGTTGCAAGAAAATAAAGAAGTAGCGACTGATGCCGTGACCTTGACGGTACAAAACTTGGAAATCACTAACGAGGAACTTAACAAGTATCGACAACAAATTATAAACCTACCGGCAGTAGAAGTACAACCCCCCGTAACAGAGATGTCAGAAAATAAAGTTTCAGAGAGGAATAAAGGAAAGCCAAAGAAGAAACAAAGAGAAGAAAAGAAGAAACAGAGAGAAGACGTTGATGAGAAAGTAAGTCGGTTAGAAAGGAGGGTGCTGAAAAATTGGGACCAGGACAGTGTTACTTTATACTCGCAGTCTTCTGAATCCTTATGTTTAACGGACACAAAAGAAATTGATTTTGAAGAAATGATGAAACAAGATTTTGACTTGGAGAGGAGCGTGAGTATAAGAATAGATCGGCCGAAAGAAGTTGTTGACGAGGAGGAAAATGAGACGGAAATCTCGGTTGCTTATAAAAGTGATCAATCAGAACTTCCTAGAGAAAAGGAGGCAACATCGCAATTAGATGCTGACGAGACTGTAGAGGACTCAAAGACGGAGGAAAGTAAAAACATGATAGAAGTCAGTCCTGATCAGCCTACCAAAGTGAACTCTGAGCAGGAAGATGTTTCTGATATTGACTACATGAATGTAATGAGACTGGACTTCTTGGGTGCTGACACAATGGAGAATGATAACAAACTTAACGTATATTCCTCGGGTAGTTCCCATGTCACTGATAGATCTGAAGCCTCTGGTGTGGAGGAGATAGACTCATTAGAAGAGAGACTTCTTATCGGCCTTAAAAGCGGCGAAGTCTTTGACCACAAAGGGTTCTTAAAACGAAATATTTCGGGGGCAAAAGATGGAAAAACGTTTACAGTAGAACCTTACGTCAAACCTACACCACCACCTATGACAAATCTAAAGAAACCTCTTCAATACGAGAGCGTCCTGATCGAAGTGCCGCTCAACACAAAAAGTCTAGAAGAAGAGGGAGCTTGGGAGAGGTTTAAGCAGAGAGTCAAAGACATGATCTGGTCTGATATGGAAGAAGGTTCTAGACAGCCAAAGTGCATTAGAATGGTCCGGTACCGCGAGAATGAAGAGGATGAGTTAGATCTGGAACCTCCAACTCATACTTATGTCGAATCAATCGGAGGAGAAGAGTATGAATTTGATTCTGATGCAAGTGATTCGTTAGACGAACTTGACATTAAGTTGTTCCACTTTGATAAGATCCTACAGCAGAACTGGGCAAAAGGATCACGTTTAAACTCGAACAAGTGGATAAAAAGAATAGCCGAAGATGAACTTGAGAACACAAGGGAAAGTCCAGATTTCATGACGAAGCGATTGGAAAACCGAGGTGTAATAAACCCTCCAATCTACTCACATATTTTGGAAGAGGACATTGCTTCCCCTCTTGACTCAGTGGACAACATGATTCTGTCTGTGGATAGAAACCTTAAAGTGAAGTGGTATGCAGAACAATTGATTGCTGATGAGAGTGGAATGCACAAGGAAGAGTTAACGGATGGGCTGGTTTCTTTGTTGAGAAAAACTGGTCAGAATGATATGAACATTTCGCGAATCGTATCTTCTAAAGGGAGATTGAGACAATATTTAGAAAAGGAATTGGATTCTCCTCTTCTAGAAAAAGATATTCGGAAAATTGAATTCTTATTGGGGGATACTCAAAGGGAGCCTGAAAAATCGTGGAAGAAACTTGAAAAGTTGCAAAAAACGGGCGAAAAAGGTGAAACCTAAAGAATTCTGGAGGGCTAAACGATTCGAAGTTCTACAAAATTATCGGATGAACTACAACGAAACACGAACACCGCCCAAACCATTCAGACAGATTCGAGTGAGAACCAAAAGCTCAAACATGAGCACATTTAAGAAGTTGGAAAAGAAACTCACATCTGCCTGGCAAAAGAATGGGAATCTCAATTTAGATTCTTTCAGGAACAGAGAAGACACAGATATGCAGAGTTCTGAGTTTAAATACAGTGATTTCAAGGAACAAAGAATTGTGGCTGTAGAAGAGATAACAAGGGAGAAAGAACGGAGAAAAGCGGAAGAAAATGTAATTTTATCTGAAGAGGAGTGGATGATCAACACCAAGTTGAACTTGCTGCAGGAAAAAATGAATGATGAAGAAGCATCTTTACCAGGCAAATATTCGAATACTGTTGATGACGACGAAGAAAACTGGAGAGCTCAAAGGCTCAACCATAAACTATACAATATCCGTGCTAAAGCAAAAGAAGACACTTCAATTCTTCCCGACTTTTCCTTATGTTTTAAACTGATTGATAATGGAGTTGAGGATTCCGAGAGAGCTGATGAAATCATGCCACCAACAAAGCATGCTCATAGGAAGCTGATAAGTGATTCAGAGGACAGTGATTCAAAACATCTCGACCAATTGGAAGAGCGAATCCTGGTTGCTCTTAAGGACGGAAAAAGGGCTGAAAACAAGGATATCATTGATGAAATAAAATCAACTAAGTCATCTTCAAGGTCCAAGAAGAAGAAAAAGTGGCAAAAACAAAGAATGGATGTGCGATCCAAGTATAAAACAATGAAGGAGGAACTTGAGAGAGAGAAAACAAAGATATCTAACTCTAACCCTCCCTCGATACAAAAAGAAGTTACTCTCCCGGAAGAGAATAAAGTTCAAAGTATTTCAGAGAACGAAAAATGCATCCCAACCGTCGATGAACCTAAGGAAGAAAAGCTGATTGCTAAGCTGATAACTTCAGCCAAGAAAATGTTTAAAGAAACTACATCCGAGGAAGAAAAGGAATCAATGGTATCCTTGGACGAGATCAAATGTACTACTGATCACTTGTCTCCGTATATCCTAACAAAAAGTGAAAATACCATTTCTGTAGATATGTCCATTGTAGAAAACATCAATAAGCAAAACGATCTGGCGATTATTAAAACTGATTCAGTTGAGACTCATAGTCATGTTGCTCAGAATGTTGCTAAACCTGAAACAGAACTAGAAGACAATAGAAAAGACCAAACTGAAACAAAAGCTCCTAGAAACCGAGAAAAGTCCTTCAAATACTGCCAAGAAGCAGAGGACAACCTTTCAGATATCATCGACCAGTCTTCTTCCGGAGATTCTGATTCTGATCAAGATATCCGTGATAAAGTGAAGACGGTGGAGAAAAAGATATATGAGGTCTGGAGAGAGGGAGCGGAAGATGATTTTGAGGACATGTTGAACGATGGTCTCTCAATTAAAACAGGGAGTAGAAAAAGGACGAGAAAATGGCGAAGGGAAAGACATAGATTGACTGAGAAGCACAAACAGCAGAAGGAAGAACAGGAGTTACAGAAAGATCTTCCATATGAAAATAAGAAAATTGATGTGAATGAGCTGGTGAAGGATATTGTCCCTAAAGATTTGCAAGGTTTGGTGAAAATTGAAGTTGTGTTCCTAGACAAACCTAAAGAAACGATCCAGGACCAAAATCTGTTCGCTCCTCCCAAACGACCCACCAGGAATTCTGACTCCGAAGACTCCAACGTCAGCAGTTTAACAACAATATCAGGAATTAGTAGCCTGACTGAAAGTAGTGACATCTCGGAGGAGTTGGTGACCAAATCAGAAGCCGCTCCAGAAACTCATCAGGTTACAGAAGAACAGAGTGCAATTAAAGTACAAAGTTACAGTGAAGAGGAGAGCACAAGTGAAGAAGACAGTTCAAGCAAAGAAGAAACCTCCTCTGAGGAAGAATCATCAAGCGAAGAAGAATCTGACGAAGAATCTTCGAGTGAATATGACTCCTCCAGTGAATACGAGTCCTCAAGTGAATACGAATCCTCAAGTGAGTACGAGTCCTCAAGTGAATATGAGTCATCAACTGAATTCGAGTCTACAACTGGGTCACCTTTCGAAAAAGAGTTGTCACCTATCGAAAAGAAGCCCGACATATTTGAGTACAGGAAAAGGAGACGAGATATCAATCGGACTCTGAGAATAGAAGATTTAGAAGATCAAGATAAAAAGTGGTTTACTGAAGAATTTGCTATCACTAATACCCCAGTACGTGAAAAATCGTATTCAAAATACCTGACAAAATCAATAAAAGCAATCAGAAAGAAGCATCGTCAGGTCAGTTCCTCGCAAGAATCAAGCAGTCAATCCGATGACGAAACGACCCTAAGAGATGAAAGATCAAATATAAACGACTTTGAAGAAAAGTCAGGTTCATCAAGCCAACTCGATGAAGTTGAAAGTATCACCACGACAATAGAACATTTTTCGGTTGACAGAATGGATTCACAAGAAGAACTTGACAATCAATGGTTCCAAGAAACCTTCCAGCTACAAAACGTTTCTCCACTGGAACTATCTAAACAACAGGTAGAAAGACAGCAAAGCATTATCGGAAGAGCGCAGACGATTTTTAAGATAACTGGCGTTGAAGAAGTCGAACCGTCCGCGATTGATTCAAAACGGAAGGATAAATCAGCAAAGAAGTCGGAAAATTATTCCTTATATTCTGATTCCGATCGTACTGATGAATCAAGTGATGCGGAAACCATCGAAGTTGGGCAATCAGATGACGAAACGACAGCAGAAGAAATTTCTGATGATAGTTCGTTAGTGTCATCAGATGAAGAAAATGAAGATGAAAGTGACAGTGAAAATAAGCTCGAAATTGAAAACGAAGATTCTTCTATAAAAAGTAGTCAAAGCACAATTCCATCAATAATCTCAATGGCTAAAAGAGACAATCAGTGGTTTAGGGAGACGTTTCATCTTCAGGAAGTTTCTCCAACAGACCTCTCTGGTGGTCACGCTGCTCAGCAAATAAAGTTTATGAAAGTGGCAAAGAATGTGCTTTTTATTGTAGATGATGGTGACCAAGAAAGCGAGGCACCTGTAATTGGTTTCATCAGAGATATTCATCAGCAAATTCAATCGGAATCAACTGAATCTGACAGCACGATAACGGAGAAGCGAAATGAAATAAAGAAAGAAGAAAGTGAGAGCATGGGCACAAATTCTTCATTCATAAAGGAAGATAGTTATCATTCCTTTGCTACGAAGAGCGAATTAGATGATTCTGGTGAAGAGCACTATGAAGGAAAAACTGTTTCTGCTCCTAGAGAGGGTGATAAGATCCAAGCACAAGGACTTCACCTTACACTGGACGATTTCGTCAAGGATTTTGGATTATTTCCTGAAGTTTTTCCTTTCCAGTTAGATATCAACCCTGATCATGACTTCCTATTTGAAACCCTAGTCCAGGATGTGGATTGGTATTCCCAAGAGTTCATTAGCGACGAACCTGAGATGAATGATTTTATCAGTCTTCTCTTCACAACTAGACACTGCGACAGATTAAAGACGGAGTTCTCTAAAAAGTTAAACGATACCCTTCTAGGCCACCGGCACGAGGACATGGACACAGAACTGAACGAAATAGACGCCAAGGAAATAACTCTTAGTAATTCTCATCAAACTATTTCGAACGTCAGAAAGGAAGTTTTATCCAGTCAACGGTCGGAGGATTCTTTGGCAAAAACAGAAAAGTCATTTTTACATGAGTACTTAGATAACGATGAGCTAGAAGAGCATGACGATAAATCTTCAAAGAAAAATATTAATCTCTCTTGTTTCAATTGTTTGGATAATAAGCAGACACTGGTAAATTTAAAGGAAGACCATTATGATGAGAAAGATACGAGAAAAAGTCTAGATCTCTCTAATTTGGGCATTGAATTGAGACGGGCAGAAATAACGGTAGTCCAGTTGGAGGACAGGAATGATTCACTGAGTCTGCATTGTTCCTCGGAGAAAGGAGATTCATATAACTCAGACCAAAGAACTGCAAATGATTACATGAGGATCCGTGAAAAGATTTCGGGTTTTAAGGATAAAATTGAAGCCACTGACTCAATACAGGGTGACACTGATTTCTTTATCCAGAACTCCCGTACCGAAACTGTTCCTCTGCAGACTCAACCTGTCTGGGGATTTAACCAAGAAATAGAAATCAACAAATCAACGAAGCCTGCCCATATAAGGAAGCTTGCCCATATAAGGACATTCAAAGAACCACTCTGTACCACTCCTTCCTGCTCATTAGACAGCGCTCAACACTTCATGTCACGTGAGACTGAGAATACCAGGTTTGTTTGTTTGGTACACTTTAGCACTTTCACTTTCACTTTCACTTTCACTTCCACTTTCACTTTCACTTTCACTTTCACTTTCACTTTCACTTTCACTTTCACTTTCACTTTCACTTTCACTTTCACTTTCACTTTCACTTTCACTTTCACTTTCACTTTCACTTTCACTTTTTTTGGTACACCGGCCAATGTTTACAAAATCATATGATACATAACAATATAATTTTATTTAATATACGCGAATATGAAAATTGAAAATTATGATGTAACCTTTTACGTTAATTAATTTTAAAAACAGTAAAATTTTAAAAAAACCAAAACTTTAAAAACTAAAACTTGCAGATCATGATTTATTAACATAGGTACAACCTGGGAGTAGACAAGTTACGGTACGTGCTGCTTGGAGCTAGGGGGTTGGAGGAGAGGGAGTACCTGGTGTTAGGGAGGGAGGAGGAGCTGACGGAGTTCTCTGTTTACACCCATCCAGATCAGACCACATCAGGTATTTTAAACTCCTAGTTTTGGTTTTTGTTCATTTCTAATTTGTGGGGTATTTAAATGATAGTCAAACCTTAATAATATTAATCCTGGAACTGGAAAAAGTCCCGCTCACATTGGGACTCGCGCTAAGTTTCTCGTTGTAATCCGACTTATACATTATATGACCCCAAATAACACAATTGACTCGGGTAGGTACACTTTTTCACGAGTGGGACTTTTTCCGGAATCTCGCCCTTTTTGACCACACCCATATCGTGACCCCCACTATACTTATCTTAGGGTTATAGTTCTCACTTCTCACTTCTCAAATGTTCTCAAATGCTGACGGCTAATTACTAGTCTTGATGAATTCAGTTCCGGATTCAATATTTAGACTTAGTTACGGTGATCCGGTTTATAAAAATTATCAGCAGGAAATTTCAAAGCTGTTTGATTAACAGTTTTATAACTATCGGAAATTTGATTTCGAGTGATTGAGTAACATCAAACATGCCGGGTTTTAAAGTTAATAGTAATACAATTACACGTTGTATACCTTTTTTCCAGGTGTAGCAAGCCGGGCCTTATATTATGTTTGGATGTTACTAACATCGGCCCTAACATTGTTAGGGCCGAAATCCGAATGAATCTTGGGATCTGATGGCGCGTCGTGTTATTAAGTTACATACCAATACCATTACTGGGTCCTTAGCTTCGGACCTCAGGGTCGAATAAAAAGCGCTCGATATTGGAATTTTTCGGGAAATTATCTGCCATCTATTCAAACTTCAAAGGTCGGAAATGTCAAAACGTTTCAGTAAAATTGTAAACCTATCAAAAAATTTTACTGTTGAGGGGTCTGGCTTTGATTAGGTAGGTACGTAATATTGCTGACAAGGGGCCAAGAGTCAGTAAAGCAGTAGGGTTGGGTCGTGATTACACCTAGGGGGTGCACGATAAAAATAAACTTGCTCGGATTTTAAAAATTTTTGTACCATTGTTTTCTAGAGACTGTGAGAATTTTCACAATACCAAATTTGTTATACCTTTTTGGAAAGATCATTGAATTTCGCCTAGGTGCCATATTTGATGGTGCGCGGCTTTTGGAGCAAAAGTAGCTGTAAAAGTCGCGTAATTTGACCAAATTCGTTGATTTTTGTCGTATTATTTGGATATATCTTTAGTTCATTGAATGGGATCATTCTGAAAATTGGCGACGACCTTCCAATAAGGCTTTCACAACTGTCCCAAAAATTTGGTGGATATCGGAGTTGATATAGTGATCAAAATGGGGCAAAATACGCTGCTTTTAGCTGTAACATAATGTCTGATGGTTGGATATGCTTTAAATTTTTCGGACACCTTCCTTGTAAGTCTATGAGTAAGCTTACCAATTTTTGTTGCAATCGGAGGTCGGGAAGGATACTCAATATTTATTTGTTTGAAGAAAATTGTGCTGGCCGAAATTAGCGCTAAAAAACCATCCTACAGTCGGCACGCGCGGCTCACTGTCGATGGCGCACTACCTATAATACACCAGCATTTTTAACACACAACCTAAACACATATAAAATTCAGGTGGGTGTAGTATATTGAAGAGCCCTGAATCCAGTAACTTTTTTGGATCAGATATGGTGAACTTCGAGTTTGATCAAAGCTTCGTCCCACGATACAACTACTTGTTTGGAAGTAACACGGAAAAATCAGAAATATCTTCTAAAACTAGTAACACAGGTCCGGATATAGATATTTTGATTGAAACATAAAATTGATTAAGAACAAATAAAAGTATTATCTAAACAAATATAGTCAGTGTAATAAGCGCCAAGCGCGAGCACAGAACTTTTTTCTCCGATTTCGATAAATTTGGTACCAAAAGTTGTCTTAAAATGTGAATAAAATAAATCCACCGTGTAGCAATTTTCGCAAAAAATGCTACACGGCGCTTGTTCGCCGCGCGTGCTTTTTTCGCGCAAATTTTTAGTTTTTGGCCTATAACTTTCACATTTTCAATTATTATCACACAGTTATTATGGTATCGTAATCAGCTCATTGAGACAAAACTTTTAGTACTAATAATTTAAGATTTAAAGGAATTTTTTTTTCAAAAGTTTTAAATCTGAACACAAGGGTCCCCCCTTGTGTAAAATGTTGAACAAATTTTCGAAAAATTTGGTGCTTTAAATATTATAATTTTTGTACCAAAAGTTGCGTCTGATTAAGCTCATTACGATCCTGTAAGAATTATTTCAAAATATTCAATATTTTAGGAGTAATAGGCATTTTAAGCAATAAATTAACCATTTTTCGTCCTTTGTACACTTTTGCAATGCACAGGAGGCCCACATACATCTCGACGTTATCGTGCTACACGGTGAATTTTCATTATTCACAGTTAAAGGCAACTTTTGGTACCAAATTTATCAAAATCAGAGACAACAAATTCTGTGCCAACTCATGGCGCTTATTACATAGACTAATAGGTATAAAGTCCTTCTGAACTGTCATTTTTACGCAAGTTACCAACTGATCTGTGATCGACCCAGGATTTTTCTCGCGGATCGGAAATAAATTCGACACCGTGGCTGCAGAGTTCTCTATACCTGATTTTGAAGATGATACCATGAAAGGAATGTCAGAGAACTCGTTCAGGGGGTCTGGATTGGATCTCAGTGTGGCTAGCCATCTGAGCACGTGTGGTGAGTAGTTATTACAAAGTTACAACTTATAATTATATTATTAGTCGGTAAAGTAAATCCCGATTTACCGCAAACCCCGATATACAACGGCCATTTCCGGACACGACCTTGTAGTTGTTACGCGCATTGAGGCACTCGAGGGCCGAGGCACCACTTTGAGGCAATTGGGAAAACAAATTTTGGATCACTGGGGCACTCGAGGAAATTATTACTAAATTAGTAATTATTGCAGCTAATCATAATTAGCGGCACTCTCAACTTGAATATCAATGAAATAATGTGTTCAATGATGCATCTCTACAGCTTCTAGCATTAACATTGATATCTTCACCGGTATTGGTAAAATCAGAAATGAATAGGATTCCGCATTTGACGTTATATATTAACTATCTATTAGTATTACCCAATACATGTAATACTAATAGTAATAGCGATGCCTCAACAATCAACATGTGTAAAATTAAAATCCCCGATCATTTACTGCGGATTTTTCTTTCTCCCAAACTCCGCAGTAAATTGAGGTTTTACTGTATATTTATTTGAGGTATATTTGTAATATCATCCAAATTCTTAGCTTTCTTATTTCCTTTAGAACCGGAAGAGCTGGTGAACCTGGTGGAGAGCGAAGGAGAGTTTATATGGCAGGACATGACAGGTACGCGGGTGCATGTTTATTCTTTAGCTTGCTAGTCTATTGCTTGCTAGTCTATAACTATTGCTTGCTCGTCTATTGCTTGCTCGTCTATTGCTTGCTCGTCTATTGCTTGCTACTTGCTAGTCTAGTCTATTGCTCGCTTCTCTCACGTATTATAGGAAGCTTGAAAAGAGCGCACAGGGACTGGCGAGTGGCGAGCCAGGAAGTTTATTTTAAATCTATAAACCTGTTGTTTAACCCTGTAGGTGCAGTTGACGAATATATAATTATCAGGGGACTGATCCTAATTTGTTACAAATTCTAACATTTTCTCCGAAAACTGGAACATGTATTCCAATTTTATTGCTGATTCTGCAAATCACACCCTGTCAGGTACATGGCACTTCAGAACTATCTACACTCGTGGGAGAAGAGGCAGTCGTGCTGTTGATAATAACACAGATAAAGATAGTCTGAGATTCTGTACTTCTAACTCAGAGTTTGACGGAGTTTCTATCGCTGAAAATCACATCACAGGTAGATCTGATCAATTTTACCGAAACCACTTTTTACTATGATGTGAAATTTCTGCAAGAGTTGTATTTCTTGATTACTCGACTCACCACGCAATTTTAGGAGTGTTGGAGAGGATCAAATCAAAAATAAGGCCGAATCGATCGCTAACAAGAGAAAACTCCAACTCTAGTGATAGTGGTGCCCACAATATGGCTTCGGAGTACGAGTGGAGTTTGGTAGAAGGAAAAAGAGAGGATAGGATTATGCGAACTGGAAAATCACCGGCTGAACCTGAAGACGGCAGCACGGGAAGAGATAATGGAAGTGAAAGTGAAAGTGAAAGTGAGACTGGGTCCCTAAAGTTTATAGGAGGAGAAGAACTTGTGTATCTGGAGGAGAGCAATGCTGAGTTTATTTGGCATGATGAGCGCACTAAAACCTGGCAGTTTTACAACACCTTTATTTTGGAAGATCTGCATCTTTCTGAACGGTCAACAGTAGAAACAGACAGAGAAAGCTACCATTGGATTAACATTGATTCCGGGAATAGTGGAGGATTGTTGTCAGAAGTTGTAGAGATTGATATGGAGCGTGAAGTACAACGCAGATTGGGTGTTCTGAGGAAGAAGCTGCTCGGAGATAGAGACAAAATTAATGATCAGAAAAGTGAGTCTTGCGAGGAAAAGAGTGACATGCTGTTTTCAGGATTAGATTTTGATTTGAGGTCCTTTTTCTAATAAGATTGACTTCGAATAACGAGCTTTTGAAAAGTGGACTAGAAATTAGACAGGTCATAGTTCAATCAATTGTTATTATTTTTGTTGTCAGACTGAAAAACAAAAATATATTTCCTCTAGCATGATGTGCTTGCCCAGCGAATTTTAGGAACTGAATACTGATAGTGCTAAGTGCCACGGGGGTACAAAAAAAACTCGATACAATTAAATGTCTGCAAATATTGTAAATAAGTAAGTGATGGTACAATTAACTGAGCAGATCCCATGAACTCTCTTTCTAATTGCTTTACCGAGTTTTACTATTGGTTTCCAATACCGAAGTGAAAGAAAATGTAAAAGTCAACTAAAATCATAATATAACACAATTAAACTTAAATCATACAAATTAACGCACTGTTATTTTAGAAAATAGAAATATAAGAGCTCCCAAGAAATCACTTTTCTAACAAAATGGATGTCAAATATTAAAATGTTAACAACGTTTTAGCAGTCTTCAGTTCAATATGATATCTCAGTCTGGGTTTCTAGCAGAGTTGCTAGGGGCGTTGCTAGGGGCGTTGTTAGAGTCACGTGGTTGAGCGTATACGCGGTAAAACTTCCTGCCCTCCGGTACTTTGAATCTGTTGTTAACTTTGCGAGCTTGGCAGAACTCTTTATCTTTTATCACTCCTATCGCCCACGGCTTCCTACCAGGGGGATCCAAACTGAAATATTGTTAAATTACTTATTGATAACATGTAACGTGGCGAAATAACATCTTAATTTCGGGGTATATTATTTTGGAAATGTCCACCTTAAAGACCCACCTAAGTCCGAGAGCACCCAGGTTATCAGGATGAAGGAAGTACTGGTACTCGTTTGGGGAGACGTTGGCTACCAAGTAGTTTGACTTAGTCTCGTCATAGTAGAAGAAGACAGTGTCACCTTTCTGAAACTGAGTGACAGCAATCTGGAGACTCCTCGCCCGGGCCGTCCTCAGACTCTCAATCTCCCGAGCCTGGTCCCGGAGCTGGACAGCCAGTTGGCTGGGAGCCAGCTGGTCGGGCGAGGGGCTGGGAGCAGCTGGGTCTGTGGCAGTGTCTCCTGTGTTCACTCCACTTCCACCTTCGGGTCATGATTTGTTATGAAACTAATGCAATGTAGACGATTTACATTCGAACACTTGAATAACATTGGAATAATTTACGAAAATATAGGATATTCAATATCTAAGAAGCCTAAATAATATCCATATTGAGCTGCTGGTTCCACACTCACTTGGTCGGTTTTGTATCTCAGTCTGAAGAGCTAAGATGCGCTCCTGGAACGCTGCCTCCCTTCGTCCAGCCTGCTCTTTTAGCTCCTCCAGCTCCATTGCCGCGTTCTGTAAAGCAAGCTGGGTAAGTCTTCAGTTTTACCGCTTTTATTCAGAATTACTGCTCTGACAAATGAAAGTAATGCCTTGTTCGATTTTGCTGAGAAAGTAACCGATGGTTTTTGTAACTACTTACAAAAGGAGGCCCCAGCTAAGCAGTGGCCCTTTACTGAGTGCAGTACCACCACTAGTTGCTAGGTTAGCAACTTTGCAAATACCTGTTTCTGCAGTTTAATGTCTCTCTCCGCCTCTGCCTTGAACATTGCAGTCGTTTCCCTTTCCTCCTCAACCTCCTTCGTCTGCGAGTCCTGTTTGTTTTGAAGAACTACCAGGTTAGCTTCCAGCTTACTGTTCAGATCCTGCACCTGGTCTAATGTTCTCTCCATCTCTCCGTGCTGCAAAACAGTCGTAATTACATATTTTGCATATTTTAGATATCATCTTGCATGTTCTGAACGATTTAATCATATTTTTGTTCAAATTGACCACTTAAAACTAACCCTCAGCTTGGCTTTGGTCTCGATCTCCTGAACCAGTTTATCCTTGTCCAACCTCAGTTTCTCAAGTTCGAACATCTTCTCCTTGTCCTTCCTCTGCTCAATCTCTTGTCTCAGGTTGGTCAGCTGTTGTCTGTGTTGCTCGTTCACAGTCTGATCACTGTTTAGGAGGTCTATGTCGCGCTGAAATTAGGGAAAAGTTTAAAAGTTTAAAGAACAAAATGCTGTAAGTTAGATGAGCACACTACTTCTAGTCAAAAGATTGAATATGAATTATAAAAGTTAAATTAAAATGGTACCTGGATTTTCTTGAGACTGTCCTCTCTTTCGGTTAGTAGCTTGCTCTGTGAAGCTGCCTGGGCTTGTAGCTCTTCTATCTGTGTTGCCAATTTCTTCTTCTCCATATTCCAGCCTGAATATATTCTTATAGTCTACATATCCAACAATGCCTCCTTTCCATCTAGGAGAACTCTCGTGGGGGGGCACCATTAGTTTTGGCAGGTTGCATATTTAAACATTTTCTATTTTTTTATAACAAAAACAAAAAAAAAACAATGCCCTGAACTTTAACTAGGTTTAGAAGTCCCACCACAGAAACTGAAAATGACCCAAATCACCTCGCTCCTTAAGTTTGAAAGCTTCGTTATCCGACTTGAGGTTACTGATCCTTGTATCTTTCTCAGATGCTAGGGTCTGGAACGTACTCCGCTCCTTCTCCACCTGGTCTAACTCATTCCGGACCTGGTCTAATTCCCGTTGTAGATCACATATCAGGGATAATTTCTTCTCTAATTGCTCCTGAAAACAGGTTTTAGACCTGGATCATAGCTGGGATTTATCAAATAAACTTGAATTTCATGATATTTACTATTTAGTTTTACTTTGCTGTCGAATCATGGCTACAGAACTTAACAATAATTCAATTTTTTCAATCTCAATTTCTGTATAATATTCCGGACAATAATCGAAATTCTAAGTCTGACACAGAAGATACATTAAAAGTGATTATACTTGATTTGATTGAAGATTATCCTCTAGTTCCTTGTTCACATCATTCAGCTTCTTGTTCGTATCCTGAAAAATGCCCAATATTAGAACGCCCTACATAGCAACATCATTTATGATCCGGGTCATAGGTACTGAACATAAACTCGATATCCGAATATGAAAGGAAGAGGTTACTGGGTTGGGTTAATATTCACCGCGTTCATATTTAAAATACAAAACAGAATACAATTAAACACTTATAATTTAACATGAACAAGCGCATGCTAACGATAATTAATAATAATGAGTAATAATTAGTAATAATGAGTAATAATGAGTAATAATGAGTAATAATTAGTAATAATGAGAACTAACCTTAAGGAAAGAGAGCTCCACCTCGATCTTTATGTTTTTATCAAACTGGGCAGCCAACTCTTCTGTTTTCTGTTTTACCAACTCCTCGTGAGACGAACTACTGAAAATACAGCAGGGTGTCATAATTATTGGCGCGTAGACAGTTTTGCGTGAAATTTTAGCTCACCCAAGCTTTCAAAAACGATCATTACTGACTTCTGAGGATCAAGTTTATGGGGTTTTTTATTTCTGACTTTTGTGATGTAGACATTAATGACTTAATCATTAACAGATTAAGCGAGAATTTTACATCCATAACTTTAATTGTGGAATAAAAAAGAGATTTGAGTTGGAGTTATGAGATTAGTAGATATTGATCGTGTTTCTTAAGAGATAAGTCTCGACTTCGTAGAGAACAGATTATAGAAACTGTTGTGTAGTGTATATGTTAAATTATTATTGGGGTTGGTATTTTATATTCCCAACTAGAATATTTTCTCAGGCCTGAATCAAATAAATTTAAATTTCCGTAATAAATGGTGATGGTTGGTCATTCTCATATTTTATAGTATTATCAAGTATCATGTCATTTGTTTGTATTGATTTTATTTTATATTATATATGGATTTATTGGATGTTTGTAGCATTTAAGAATATGTGTATTTGTTGTTAGACCTTGTTTGCTCAAAAATATATATGACATAATCGATAATCATTATCCATTAAAAGTCAAAACTCACACAAGATTAAATATTGTTAAAAACTATTCAAAATATAGCTTATAATACCTTAGCACAAACATAGCTGAGCACTGACACCTGTTCTCGTAAGATGTTAGAACTCTTTGCTTCTTGAAGGAGGGGTCTCTTTCTTCTCTTTCTTCGCATCTCCTTTTTAAAGGTGAATTGTAAAAATTTCCCGTTTTGTCTGGTGACGATGTAGAAGGTTCGGGAACTCTTTCTTTTCTTTCCGAAGATGATTCGGGAACTCTTTCTTCTCTTTCCGAAGATGATTCGGGAACTTTTTCTTCTCTTTCCAAAGATGATTCGGGAACTTTTTCTTCTCTTTTCGAAGATGATTCGGGAACTTTTTCTTCTCTTTTCGAAGATGATTCGGGAACTTTTTCTTCTCTTTTCGAAGATGATTCGGGAACTTTTTCTTCTCTTTTCGAAGATGATTCGGGAACTCTTTCTTTTCTTTCGGAGGAAGGTTCGGGAACTCTTTCTTCTCTTTCCGAAGAGGTTTTCTTTAAAGATGATTCGGAAATGCCTTCGTTTTTCTTACAAGAAGATTTCGAAATGAATTCTTTGCTTTCAGAACACAACTTGTAAATGTCTTCATTGGTCGTGGAAGACGATTTGCAAATGTTGTATTTTATCTCAGAAGACGATTTACAAATATCTGTGTTTATTTCCAAAGAGGTTTTGGAAATATTTTCATTTCTCTTGGCGCCGTTTTCTTTACTGTTACAGTTCGAATGAGGGGATCTTTCTGTTTCCTTGGAAGTGATGTGCGTGAGTCCATCTTTATTTTCACTCTCTTTAAATCCATTTTTAGAGGACAGTGCAGAATCTTCTTTCTTTTTCAAGGAGAATTTTAAAGAAATATCCCTTATTTCACCTTCTTCCTCGTCGGATTCATTTTCCACTCCTTTCATTGGAGAATCTTCCCTTTTAGAAATGGCTTCAGAGATGTTGCCCTCTAATGAAACAGACTTTTCTAAAATAATTTCTTTCCTTTTACATGACCTTTCTATAATGGTTCTATCTACCCCAGAGGTTCTGTAACGTCTTTTAGAAGACTGTCTACATAAATAGCTTCCTTTATTTTGACCCTCATCCTCGCTGCCGATCTTCCTGCTTGGTGCACCTTCCTTACTTTTACAGTTAGAGGTTATAACCTCAGGGGTTAACGGAATACCTTTGTAACTAGGAAATGAAACTTCAGAGTTCTGTACATCACCATAGAAACAAGGGACGCGATTACCGCTCTGCCTCCGATAACCATGGAGACTGGAAGATTTAGCCTCGGCGTATTTCGAACCGCGTTCTTCGCAAGGGGTGCGAGTTTCAGCATATTTCGAACTTCGGTCCTCACCATGGGTACGAACCTCACTATGTTTTGAACTTCGGTCCTCACCATGGGTACGAACCTCACTGTGTTTTGAACTTCGGTCCTCGACAAGGGTACGAACCTCACTGTGTTTTGAACTTCGGTCCTCACCATGGGTACGAACCTCACTGTGTTTTGAACTTCGGTCCTCACCATGGGTACGAACCTCACTATTTTTTGAACTTCGGTCCTCGACAAGGGTTCGAACCTCACTGTGTTTTGAACTTCGGTCCTCACCATGGGTACGAACCTCACTGTGTTTTGAACTTCGGTCCTCATCCTGGGTACGAACCTCACTGTGTTTTGAACTTCGGTCATGAGCATGACGTGAACTGCGTCTATCAATCGGATTGGAAACCTCAGTATTTTGTAGAGGACGTTGGTCAGAAGGAGAGATAATATCTGAGTGTTTCGAATTGATCCTTTCAATGGGGGTTGAAACCTCGGAATGCCTCATGCCACGATCCTCACCAAAGGAGCGAACCTCATGAGATGAAGAACGAGCGACGAGACGCCTATTACCAAAAGATGAGGACTGGTCATAGTGAGAATTGTTTCCTGAAGGGGGTCTGATTATTTGATTTCTGATTCTCTGGTCGGAGCTTCTCCTAACATCCTTCATCAGCACGTCTCTAAATTCCTCCTGTCTTCTCTCCGACTGAACAATGTGATCAAAGAACTTCTTTCCCAACAAATCACTGTTGTCTGGCCAGAACATGCTCATTTTGTTTGCATCACTAAGGTACCGATCTATTCTCTTCCTATCCCGAGTTCCAAGCACTGCTTCTAACAGCAGCTGACGACGAACTCTGGACAGGAACCAAAAAGCGTACCCAATAGAGATCCAAATAGCATGATACGAGCAGTTTCGCTCAGATACTTTAGTTCCAAGGGTACGAATCAGTGGACCACTTACTCGGACAATGGCGTTCTGTGCCTTTAACAATCTTGCATCGGTTATCGCTATCATCTTCCTTTCGAAGAAGTTCCAGTTATGAGCCTCGGCCGCTTGTTCCACGAAAAGATCCGCGTAGAGGTCCCACTTTGGGGGTACAAGGAACTCATTACTGGGTACTGGGTAGTCTTCTTCAATAGATTTGGTGAGTGTAAACGGAGTGTCCAGAATAAAGTACTGTTCCAGTTGAGACGCAAAGTTTGATTTTAAAGCTGCACGTTTTGGTTCGTAGAAATAGCTAACATCATCCAGTGGGTCGTAGGTTCTGAAACTACTGCAGGATTTGTTAAACTCCTTATACTCATTATTAACCTCCCTGAATGTGCTATTTTGCTCTCTCACCTCTGTTTTGAACCCTCCGCAGCCCCTCAATTCTTTATCATACCCCTTACCCCCATAACTTCCGAATTCTCTCTTGTATTCTTTTCCCTCGCTGCTCCTAGCTTCTCTGTGGCTCTTTACTTCCCTATACTCTTTCTTGAGCTCCTTTAAACGATTCTCCTTATCTGATTTTGCTCTGAAGCTAGAGATACTCTCCGACAGAGTCCTCCAGCTAAACTCATCAGGGGATCTGGTTGGACTGAGCGGGTCGTATAGTTCTTGTTTTATGGTCCTAGAGGAGCTTCTCATGGTACGCAAAGGGACATTCTCCGGTCGACAAGTGGTTGTTTTTGATGCAGGTTTATTTTTAGTTTCCTGTCTGGTGTTTGGTGTTTGGTTTCTGTTTCTATTCTGGGTGTTGAAGGGAGTATTGGGGTGCGCACTGGAATCAGAGGTTTAGCTGATTGTTGTTCTGACATCATACATTATCTGTGAGGTTGGGCAGTGTTATACAGCTACAGGTATAGTTTACAGTTGTCCTGATAACGTGGTGGAGTTTTTATTTTAGCTAGACGTACCACGTTAATCTTTACTGAACTTGTAAATACTGGTTGAGTTCTTGCAAAATGTCCAATTTAACATTTTAGACTCGTTTTTGTTGTTGCCCGGACGGTGCCGGTTAAAAGTTCTAATCTCTACTATAATTCAAAGAATTATTTCTGCTGTATGTACGTACGACCGCCCACGTGCAAATTAGATGAAAAATAGGAATTTAGGTAACAACCAAAAGGTTCCATAGCAACGGTGCTTTAATGCACACATGCACGTGCAAAGATTGTTTTAACGTCATTTTGATCGGTTTTGTGGTAGTTACGTTGTGTTTAAAGTGTTTTATATTTAAATCGGCTGTATCTTCGGTTGAGATCATGGATATTTTTTGATGCGATTAAAAATTTCTTTCAAAGAATACTACTAGCTTCGTCCCTGTTACCACGGGCTTTCTACTACTACTACTACTACTATGTCGGAGCTAAGTCCGATCTACGCCAGAAAACCCCCTCCATATATCCCTGTCCCGCATCAGGGTTCGCAGTTCCTCTTTAGAGTTTGTCCCAACTTCCTTCAGTAACATAGACAAGTAGCTTTGTCTTGGTCGGCCTTGCTGTGCTCTACCGTGCGTAGGTTCCCATAAGACTAAATCACTGGCAAGTAGCTCAGGATGTCGGATGCAGTGTCCCGCCATTTTTAAACTCCTGCTTCGTAACTTGTTTGACAGCCTTGGGAGGCTACCATACAAAGGGCTTTCTAGTATTATAGTACGGGCTTTCTAGTATTATATAATACAGTTGTTATTGCAATTAAAGATTGCTGATACTAGAAAACAACAATTTCAAGAAAAAACAATTTTCGATTAAAGCAAACGAAACAATATTTTATAAATTAAACTAGTTGGACCTTTTGGAGTAGCTATAGAGAGGTATATACCTTTTACAAAAATACGGTGATTTATTGGTGACATAACCCTATCAATATCATCATACATTTTAAAAATAAAAACGAAGAAGAAACTGCAAAACTAGCAGATCATCAACACGTAAGACTATAGCTTTGCTTTCCAAATGGGGACAATGAATGTAATATAGTTTCAAACTAATGACAACACTAAAAGTAATCTATCACATTTATTGAGGACGTTACAGAAGATATCTTCGCGTCCTAAGATGGCGTTTCACACAGTCCAATAAATAATTTACAAATAGAAATATATTCAATGCTCTCAGTGAGTCACTAATTATACACTTATGCGCGTATACATTGTATACATCACTATACATCACTATACAATGAGTGACTGGAGAAAAGTGAAAGTCATTTTAGGTGGCATTATTAATGTTATATAACGTAATATAACAATGAATAATATTGTGCCGTGCATTAATAGCAAAGAGGTGAAAGATCTTTAAGTTCAAGACATAATTTGAGCCCATCATATTTTCTATACTCTTATACAACAAGGTTATAATTTATGATGATATTACTGTCATAGATTAAAACCATGTTGTACCATATTATTAATTATTACCTACTCATGATCATGTGGCTGGGGTCAAATTGTAGTAACTTAAAAATTATGGAAATATCATTATCTTTTTACGTACTGCTAGCTATAGACAATTTCAAGCGCTTATGACGGACTTCTTACCAAGACGGGGCGCAGCGCAGCGTAGATAATACGTCGACTTATTACAACACTACTACAGAAGAAAAACTGAAAAAACACAGTAAAAGCCATAATACAATATCAGAAAATGGGGCTAAGTAAGTCCTTACAAAAATTGGCAAAGGAATAAGAATTTTAGTGCACAAAATTTTGACCCCCAAGTCGGTGTCAAAAATGCGAATTAAATAGGTAATAATTATTTTAGTTTCTTGACTCTTGCTACCACTTTAGGGTTAAGTTAGACGGATTCCTGCTAGTAATAATAATATGCGAAAGACAAAACCCTAAATAAACAATACCACACGCAACAGCGAGTAGGAACCATATGTTATGTATTACCATAGCAATCATGGTTACTACCAATTACCATGGTTACCATTGTTATGTAATACCATGGTGATTGGTGCTAGTTACCCATGACATCACCTAAAGATAACTATGTGCATTGTGAATAATATTATGAAACAAAGTTCACGTCACAAAAATGCAATTCTGTAATTCCCACAACCAACCACCAAACAAAGAAGAAGGAAAGGAAAAGAGGGAGAGGGTGAGAGGAAGCAAAATCACGTTCACAACACGTTCACAACACGTGTACACCAAACTGATCAACTAGGAAATAGAAACATTTCGCGGTAAAGGGCAACTCTCAATCTGGAAATGTCTCACAGTTCACGTAGATTCTTACTTTGAGCACCCCCTCATCTAGTATAGTGTAGTAGTATAGTGCGGTGAAAGGTTTCAGTTCCGACCCATTTTCTGTATGGCGCACATTTACAAAAAATATGGTCACATCCAAGAAAGAAGAAATCCTGTAGTGGGGTCTATGTAATGGCACCGAATGCAGTACCACACGTGCCAGTAACTAGCCTAGAAGCGAAGGTGGGTCACACATTTGGGGTAGAAAGCTGATAACCTGGTAACCTTGTTGCCTTGGTAACCTAGTAACCTGGTAACACATTTGGGGTAGATAACTCACAGAAACTTTCAAAATAAGTGCAAACTGTTCGCGATGTCCATTTAATTATTATATATCCAATTATTATATATCCAACTCAAAACGCAATATATGCTCAAAAATGTTTATTTTTCAAATTATTGATGAAAAACTGATGCTAAGTGCGGCAGATTTGGGGGTACCAAAAAATTTCATTTAATCGTGTGTTAATTTGATTTGTATTTCCAACCATGCAGGACACCTCGTCTATAAAGAAGTACCTAATGCTCTGGAAAAACCTCCTCATCTTAACCTTCTTTTTCGGATTAAGTAGTTTAGGTGTGATCACCTAAGCTGAACAATTCACCAAGGTTGGACTATTCAAAAGCGTAGTACTATAATATTAAAAAGGATAATACGACGTTGCATTATACACGGTTAACGCATTAAGTGAATTACAAGGTTAATGTATCCAGTATTACAATCTGCACAGTTATACCCGACGATTGAACGATTCGTGACTGACCTCACTGAAGTTTATTTTGTTTTGTTTTAGAAGCAAACTTGCCTCATATGTCATACATAGACAGTGATTGATACATAATCACCCTTTTCTAAACATTTCGCGACATCTTAAAGAAATAATCAGCCCGGACAGATATGTTTTTTTACTTTAGGGCGACCCTGGTACAAAAAACTGAAGCTGTCGAAAAATTCTGACTAAACTGTCGAATAGAAAGCTGGTAACTATTTAATTTGGGTGGCTTGATTGGAGGTAAGGAGACAGATGGGATATAAATATTATGGAAACAAGCGAAAATATACATGTTTTTAAGTACGCAGGAATATATAGCACAGTACAACTTTTGTACATCACAAAAATGTACAATAATGAAAGAATGAATACGGAGTACCTTTAAACAAGGGTTAGGAACGCTCAACAAATGTACAATAATGAATACGGAGTACCTTTAAACAAGGGTTAGAAACGCTCAACAAATGCCATTCCAAGATATATTATTAAGGCTTCACAGTATGCGCTTATTTTACAGTTTATCAGCCAGCCAGGGGCGAAGTAGACCCGAACTTAGATAATGAAGGGTGTATAGTAACCTGGTAACCTTGTTGCCTTGGTAACCTTGGTAACCTGGTAACCTGGTAACCAGCCAGGGGCGAAGTAGACCCGAACTCAGATAATGAAGGGTGTATAGTAACCTGGTAACCTGGTAACCTTGTTGCCTTGGTAACCTTGGTAACCTGGTAACCTGGTAACCAGCAAGGGGCGAAGTAGACCCGAACTCAGATAATCAAATGATGTATAATCTAGAATAGAGCTGGAAGAGACCTTCAAGGGGTGCGAACAATCATTATGCAAATTATAATATTATATTACAGAACTTTAATTAAAGAGAATATATTTTATCAAGTGTTCTTGGCTGAACGAGAGAGGACTGTTTCAAGTTTTAACTGTAGCTACATTACAACATTGAAACATGGCTAATTTCTGTTAAACACAAAATAAAGACAAAATAAAGACTTTGTAGTTGGGGGCTGGGGCCATTCAAATATTATTTGATATTTCTGATGCATTTCATCCCTACACAAGTTACGTTAGTCATGGGCTTTATCATGAACTCATTAAATTTAATTAAAGCATGGCATAAATAAAGGTAAGACAAACCTCAATAGGGGGTGAAAAATGACCGCGTTACCGCGACAATTGACCCCCCGACAATTGACAGGGGTCAATTGGCCGGGGTCAATTGGCCGGGGTCTATTGACGGGGGTCAATTGTCGCCCACCCATTTCTGATCGCAATTACCACATGGCAGATGCACAAGGTTTTCAAAGTGACCTGACAATCACATAACGAGATATTTAGGAGACCACTTAAAACCTGTATTTGAAGGTCAATTTCGTTTACTTTTGATATGAACACATTCAAGACTTCCAGATAAGTGCAAAATGATCGTAACTGGCACAGTTATATCTGAGTTTTGAAGCAACGAATGCCCTAAAATGCTTTAAGTTGCCTTATTTTAGTTGCCTTGGTAACTACAATGCTTGACCTCTAAATGAGTAACACAGATCAAACCACAGGGAAACAAGATCTCAGACAATGTCTGTGAAGATGAAAACCTTAACCTGGTAACCTTGTTGCCTTAGTAACCAGGTAACATTGTTGCCTTGGTAACCTGGTAACATGGTAACCTTGTTGCCTTAGTAACCTGGTAATCTTTTGCCTTGGTAACCTGATAACCTTGTTGCCTTAGTAACCTGGTAACCTTGTTGCCTTAGTAACCAGGTAACATTGTTGCCTTGGTAACCTGGTA